AGAACTGGGTCACATGGCTATTCCCATACTAATACCTAGTGAGGGAAGGAGAGTCACGGTGTTTGGCTCGGGTGCTGTAAGGAAGAGTGGGCGTGATTTCTAGGGTGGTACGAATACTGGTTCATGAGCTCCCACAAGCGCCCACGCATGGTTCCTGAGATAGGAATCCCAAACTCTAAGCACAGCAGCTAACACATGCCAGGTGCCTTATCCATGCTGCTTCCCCCTTTCTGTGATTCCCTCTGAGAGCACAAGACTCCCAGCCTGGCCTCTCCTGAGCCAGCCTTCCACACCTCAGTCCTGGGGCTTGAATCTCCACCATCCAGCACCTCTCCCATCCTGACCTCGGGCTCCATCACTGCCCTCCCTCTTACTTCTATCTCAAAAGCTTGGGATGAACAAAGATCACTTCATTGTCCCCAGTGACACTGGATTCCTAAGGAATCAAAGAAAGGAAGTGCTAGATCCTGATATGAATGCTTTCACCAGGGAGCCAAAAATTAATAACAGCATGAACAGAGGCCTGGAGTATTTAAGTACACCGTTATCTGAGCGAGGTGTGGGGACCGACTGCCGACTACGACATTATCACATTCGGAAATGTCAGAAGCGTGCATTTTGCAGGGAGATGAACGGCGTGTCTGAATACGGCTTTTGATTAAAACAAAATTCCCAGCATTCATCTAAAACAATAATAACAGCTAATAATAACAGGGCATGTAATAATGAACCATTCACAGGCATAAGAGGTAATTGTTCAATTAAGATCCCAGAGTTTCAGAGACTGTCTTTTTTGATGGGGTCCCTTTGTTTTTGCCTCCAGTAGCACTAATTCTTTCCCAGTAGTGCTTTACACTTGGGAGGAAAAAAGCCCTCCTGTCAAATATGACATACAAGTGCTGTATCATTATTAAACACACACACACGCGCACAAGAACAAGTCCTTGCTGGAATAAAGTTAGGGGTGTGGGGCTCTCAGTGAATGCTGACAGGCTGGGGAGCTCCGTGAAAGTGACAGGCCACAGTCTTCACCGTGGAAGTGGCCTGGCCTCCTTACCTCCCGCTGCTCAGGGATCAGAGTGTTTTCTCTCCAGCATGGGTTCTGAGCAGAGCGCCTGGCTTCCACTCCCAACCCCACTGCTTAGCAGCCAGGTGCCCTGAGCAAGAGCCTACACCTCTCTGAACCTGTTTCCTCATCTATAACATGGAATATAGTAGATATTTAGTTTTTTGGCCTGCCCGGGTTCTATTTACTCTCTTCTAGTGTCTGTATCCATTAGCTATTGCGTGCATTACACACACACGCACTCTTATAAAAAATTCGTGGTATCCAAAAACATTCATTCTCACGTAGCTGCGGGGTTCCTCTATCTCAGCCAGATTGCCTGGGGTGACTTGGTGTCTCTCAACCTCCTCCCGAGGGCTGGCCCTGGCACGTCTGGTAACACTCCATTGGTCAAGACAAGTCATATGGTCAAGCCCAGGTGTGGGAAATTATGCTTTGCCCACGGTGGGGGGACATCACAAAGTTAGACTGCAAAGGGCGCAAATAAAGGGAAGGGTGGGGATTTGGGGCCACGGAGGCCATCTAGCACAGGTGTCCACATTCTGACTTTGCTTAGGGCACTGCCATTCCCCACTCTTAGGCCCCTGGGTCTGGGAGAAGCTAACTCTACCCCAGCTCTGGAGATCGGCAAATAGCTCAAGTCTGACCAATCAGAGATCATTCTGCTTCCCAAGCCACAGTGATTGGTTCAGGAGCGGACACATGACCCAAGTTGGTCCAGTGAGAGTCAGGGACCTGGGGCTTTGGCTGGGATGACTGAACAAGCAGCTCTTTTCTCTAAGATTGTTGAGTTGGTAGGATGTCAGTTTGCAGCTTCCAGGGTTCAACACCTTGGGAGAGCCTGTCTAAGAAGAAAGCTTCACTGAAGGAAGACAGAGCTGTGAGACAAGCACACAATAGAGAGACTGAGTCCTAATTACCTCATTCAAGCCCCTGGATCCAGCCATACCTGAAGCCAAACATGCCTGGTCTTTTCACTAATGTGAGCCAATGTGTATTCAGACTTGCTGTCACAAGTCTGTGCCCCTAAAACTGTGACTAATATGGCGCAAGGCATGGGGAAGGTAATTAAGAGTGCCAACTGAATACCGGGTGCGGTGGCTCACGCCTGTAATCCCAGCACTTTGGGAGGCCGAGGCGGGTGGATCACAAGGTCAAGAGATCGAAACCATCCTGGTCAACATAGTGAAACCCCGTCTCTACTAAAAATACAAAAAATCAGCTGGGCATGGTGGCACATGCCTGTAATCCCAGCTACTCAGGAGGCTGAGGCAGGAGAATTGCCTGAACCCAGGAGGTGGAGGAGGTTGCAGTAAGCCGAGATCGCGCCATTGCACTCCAGCCTGGGCAACAAGAGCGAAACTCCGTCTCAAAAAAAAAAAAAAAAGAGTGCCAACTGAATAGAATCCCCGTGAGACTTCAATGAGGTGCCATATATAAAAGATCACACCTGGGACACTTGAAGAGTTCAATGAATGAAGGTGAATTTTTATCCTTTATTGAAAGTATTTACCTCCAAAAAGACAGACGAGATCTCCTGCACAACTGAGCAACTGGGGTGGAGAAGATGGTAAGAGATGATGGCAAAGGAAGGTTGGCTTGGCATCTTTGGAGTCAGATGACATTTAGATTCAAATCCACACTCATCAGGTAGCTGGGTGACCTTGAACAGATCACTTCATCTCTGTGCCTTATTCGAAAAGGGAACAAAACCTCTTATTCTTTACCTCCCAGGATTACACAGAAGAGGAAATGAGATCACGTGGGCAAGGGCCTGGGGTTTTGGAATTACTGCCTGAGGTTTAAATTCCACCTCATCTACTTACAAGTTGTGTGACCTTTAACTGCACCTCCTCAGTCTTAGACTGAATGGCCGTGTCAGACACAGGAGCATTCCATACTTGGTAGCTGCAGTGATTACCTGACGAGTGGCTAAAGGAACCACAGCGCTTGATATTGGAGAAGGGCATCAGGTATTAAACTACGGATGCTGCTTTTTTTTTTTTTTTTTTTTGAGACAGAGTTTCGCTCTTGTTACCCAGGCTGGAGTGCAATGGCGCGATCTCGGCTCACCGCAACGTCCGCCTCCTGGGTTCAGGCAATTCTCCTGCCTCAGCCTCCTGAGTAGCTGGGACTACAGGCACGCGCCACCATGCCCAGCTGATTTTTTGTAGTTTTTAGTAGAGACGGGGTTTCACCATGTTGACCAGGATGGTCTCGATCTCTTGACCTTGTGATCCACCCGCCTCGGCCTCCCAAAGTGCTGGGATTACAGGCTTGAGCCACCGCGCCTGGCCGGATGCTGCTTTTTTACAGTCTTCAGAGGTGATGAACCTCCTGTCACAGGAGGTATGCAAATACAGAGGTGTAGTGGTGAAAAGGGATCAAGCGTGGATATAGGATTGGGCTAATTTAATGATTCCCAAATATCAGTCATTTCTATAACATAATCACCATTTTCCCCATGAAAGTTTATTCATTTAATATAGTTCCTAAAATCATCTAAGTATTTTTTTTTTTTTTTTTTTTTGAGACGGAGTTTCACTCTTGTTACCCAGGCTGGAGTGCAGTGGTGCGATCTCGGCTCACCGCACCCTCCGTCTCCTGGGTTCAGGCAATTCCCCTGCCTCAGCCTCCCAGGTAGCTGGGACTACAGGCGTGCGCCACCATGCCCAGCTAATTTTTGTATTTTTAGTAGAGACGGGGTTTCACCATGTTGACCAGGACGGTCTCGATCTCTTGACCTCATGATTCACCCGTCTCGGCCTCCCAAAGTGCTGGGATTACAGGCGTGAGCCACCGCGCCCGGCCTGTTTTTTTTTAACAAGCTACATTTTTATTCCTAAATGACTTTCTTGTAAACTACACTTGAGACCACTACTTTATCTAGAAAATTGTATCATTTTCCATAAAAAGAAGGCTTTATTACTCTAAAATAAAGCAAAATTAAAATGGTTTTATTTTTAGAGACAGAATCTTACTCTATCACCAAGGCTGAATTGCAGTGGCACGATCTTGGCTTACTGCAACCTCCACCTCCTAGGTTCAAGTGATTCTCCTGTCTCAGCCTCCCGAGTACCTGGCTTACAGGCACACACCGCCACACCCAGCTGATTTGTGTGTGCGTGTATTTTTTGTATTTTTAGACAGGGTTTCACTGTGTTGGCCAGGCTGGTCTTGAACTCCTGACCTCAGGTGATCCACCTGCCTCAGCCTCCCAAAGCGCTGGGATTACAGGCATGAGCCACCATGCCCTGCCACGAAATTAAAATGTTTTTAAGCTCTTCCTAGATACCATGTTCTTCCAGAGGTTCTGAGCTAAGACTTTTCTCTATTTGAAAACAAAGATTAGTGAATGTTGGGAAGGCATTTAAAACACAGAAAAACCAAACTGAGACCTTGATATAGTCAAGGGACACAGAGAACTGAAAGAAGAACATGGGTTTTTAAACTGTGATCCCATGTCCATTGTATCACCTGAGAATACTCTGGCATACCACCAGCGCATGTCCCACACTTTGAAAACACTGGGAAAGGTTATGTTTAAGATCTTACTGGAGCAAACAAAATCCCAATCACTTGTAAATTTTTAAGTTCCCCCAGACAGCTGTTGAGTCACAGTCAATATCCAAACCATCAAATATTTTGAAAAATCACAGTTGAAAAACTAACTACATGGCTAAAAGTGTACTCATAGGAAAATTCATAGCCAAAATTATTTCATTATAAAAAATAAAAATAATTAGCCTGGAGATAGTGGTGTGTGCCTATAATCCCAGCTACTCCGGAGGCTGAGGCAGGAGATTCGCCTGAGCCTGGGACAGGGAGGTTGCAATGAGCCAAGATTGCACTACTGCTCTCCATTCTGGGCAACAGAGTGAGGCCCTGTCTTATTTAAAAAAAAAAAATGAAAATAAATGAATTAAACACTCACCTTGGACGTTACTGAGTCTCTTTGAGTTGGGAGGCTGTTTTGATTTTGTTGGCAGGCAGGCCCATCCCGTCTGCCCCTAGAGAAGTGACTTCTTCACAGACCCAGAATGAACCACTGCCATTCTTGGTGACACTGTTGGGGTGGAGGGTGGACATCTGCAAAAAGGGCTGTAGTAGATGCTACTGGTTGCCTAGGCAATATCAATTCCCACATCCTCTTTCTCACAAAACCCAGGCCTGGCTGGGATTACTTCCTTCCTCCATATTGCCATCTGCTTCTTTAGGCCAATTGTTGTTTCCTGCCTGTTGATTGGCTGAAGTGGGGGACACGTGACATAACTCTGGCCCATAATAGAAGAGAAGAGGCCAGCTAGGAAATGTCAGGGAAAAAGAGAAAGGGCTGCCTTCCCTCCTTGTGAATGAAACGGAATCTGGATGTGATGCCCGGATCAAGGGCGCCATCTTGTGTCCTTGAGGAAAACTGGCGTGACGAAAAAGCCAGCACACTAGGCGGGCATTGCCTCGCCCAGTGCCTGACGCATGGTTGGAATCCATACTTAAATGCTGAAGGAATACATAAAGAACAGAACTGGGTCCTTAATAATCACGGAGACACTTAATTAACCAGCCTTCGTATCCTCCCTAACTTGGGGCATCCTACTGAGATAATAAATATTTTCTCTCTTTCAGCCAGTGTAAATTTTCTGTTACTTGCTACCCAAATCACATAACTGTATGAATACTCCAGCCACAATTGTCTCTTCTTCCTCATTGATTTGGGTATTATTTATGATTCAACTGCTGCCTGGGGGAATTTTTTTCTTTCTTTCTTTTTTTTTTTTTGACACAGAGTCTCGCTTGTAACCCAGGCTGGAGTGCAGTGCTGTGATCTCAGCTTTTTGCAACCTCCGTCCCACCCCCTCCCACCCCCACCCCCCCAGGGCTCAAGCGATTCTCTTGCCTCAGCCTCCTGAGTAGCTGAGATTAGAGAGGGTGCGCCACCATGCCCAGCTAATTTTCATATTTTTAGTAGAGACGAGGTTTCACCATGTTGGCCAGGCTGGTCTGGAATTCCTGACCTCAGGTGATCTGCCCACTTTGGACTCCCAAAGTGCTACGATTACAGGCCTGAGCCATTGTGCCCAGCCTGCCTGGGGGAATTTAAAGGCCCCCTGGAATTACCTGATCATCACAAAGTCTGTGCCCATTTTACAGATGAGGAAACTGAGGCTCAGAACATTTCTGATCTACCTACAAATGCCCGGAAGATCAGTCCCTGAGGCAAGACTCAAATCAATTCTCTGGATTCCAAATCCGGAACTTTTTTTTTTTTGACATAGTTTCACTCTTGTTGCCCAGGCTGGAGTGCAATGGTGCAAACTTGGCTCAATGCAACCTCTGCCTCCCAGGTTCAAGCAATTCGTCTGCCTCAGCTTCCCAAGTGGCTGGGATTACAGGCGCATGCCATCACACCTGGCTAATTTTTGTATTTTTAGTAGAGACAGGGTTTCACCATGTTGGCCAGGCTGGTCTCGAACTCCTGACCTCAGGTGATCCGCCTGCCTTGGCCTCCCAAAGTGCTGGGATTACAGATTTGAGCCACTGTGCCCAGCCCAAATCCAGAGCCTTCTAGGACCTCCCCCACCTGCCAATGTCCCCTCTTGCCATTCTTGCTCTTTTCAAGGCACCCAAGGCAAAATAGGCCCCTTCCTTGTCCCAAACAACCAGCTTCAAGGAAAGATCCAGGTAGCCATCTTGTCTTCTGACCAACCCAGGGGAAGAGACCAACACCAACAACTTAAGTAAAAGAGTTTTCACCTCCGCAGAGTAGAGGAAAAGGAAGTGTTCCTCTCTCCGCCCCCAACCTGCTGCCCTTCTCAGAGTCGAGCCCCAGGAGCTCAGTCACAACGGCTGCTCCTTCCCAGAGCCTGACCTGAGGGAAAGATGCTTGTCTGCAGCCTCCGGGGAGCTGACCTGCCAGTCTTAGCTGGGGTTCCCTGTGGTTCTGGGGAGGTTTAGCAGGGAGCATCCCGTCACCCGGACGTGGGGACTGGCTCAGGCACAACCTCTGACACAACCCGCCTAATCAGAATGGCTCCAGGGATGCCTGCGGAGAGCGCTGCCTGAGGACCCCTGTCTGCGTGTGGGATCAGATGAGAAAGCACGGAGCCCTGGGAAAAGCTGGGCTACCCCTGGACCACAGGGTGCCATGGGCTCCTGGAGAGCAATGGAGGAGGAGGTGGGGGCTTGGAGCCCCCTGGCCGGCCTTGGAGGTAATCCCAGTCCTCACGGAGCTTGGTAGACTCATGTCCCTCCTGCCACTGACTCTCCCTTCTGACAGATGAAGAGGTGGAGGCCCAGAGAGGTAAAGTGACTCAACCGATGTTCCCTGGACCAAATAACCCATTGCCAATACAAGCCCAGTCTGCTCAACCCAAGCCCTTGCTAGTTTCCACCGCAGCTGCCCTTGACCTTGGTCTCCTCCGAGACCCAAGCTCTTCCTGACTGAAGCTTCAGAAGGACATGAGATCGCAGCCCGAGACTGGACCCAGAACTGGAGGCCATGGGAAACTGTAGCTGGCTGAGGCTTCCTTGGCTGTGGGATCCCTCCTCATGCCAGGAGGTCTGGAGCTGCCTGGGAGCTTGACTGATGTTGGGTGTGACCCTGGGCGAATGGCTGCCCTGGAAAGGTGATATGTTGTAGCAGTGTCCCCACCCAAATCTCATCTTGAATTGTAGCTCCCACAATTCCCATGTGTCCTGGGAGGGACCCAGTGTGAGGTAATTGAATCATGGCGGCGGATCTTTCCCGTATTGTTCTTGTGATAGTCAATAAGTCTCATGAGATCTGATGGTTTTATAAAGGGGCATTTCCCTGCACAAGCTCTCTTCTCTCTTGCCTGCTGCCATGTGAGACGTGCCTTTTGCCTTCTGCCATGATGGTGAGGCCTCCCCCAACACATGGAACTGTGAATCCATTTTTTTCTTTACAAATTACCCAGTCTCGGGTATGTCTTTATCAGCAGCATGAGAACAGACTAATACAGAAGGGAAGAGGGTCAGCCTCACCTCCAGCTCATGGCTTACAGCTCAGGCTGGCACGCGGCCCCGTGGACAGACACAGGCAGGCAGTCCCCAAGGAGGCGCCATCCCACTCAGCCCAGCAGCACCGTGAGCTCCCCCCCCAGCTCCACAAGCACTGCCAATGCACCATGCCACCATAGTCCTCACCACCGCAGCCGACATGCACACCCAACACCCCAGCCGATACTTGAGGCTCGCCCACTGCCACGCCTGCTCCGTCCTCCCCACTAGCAGGACAGTCCTCCCAGCAGCATCACTGTCCCCTGATGAGCACCAGAGTCCCCGCACCTGCATCATCAAACCCCAGCCCGTATTATTCACCCCTGCCCAAATGTACTGTCCCCACGGGCATCATTATCCCAGCCAGCACTGTCTTCCCCACCAGCGTCACTCTCCCCTGCCAACATGGCTCTCCCTGACCAGCATCATTACCCCCGCCAGTCACTCTCCTCCCCTCCCTCCACCCCACCTTCCCCACGGCCACGCTAATCCCAGCCACCTCTCAGGCCAGCACCGCCACCACCACCACCCAGTCCAGCCCCAACCACCAACACTCTCAGTGCCACCCGGTCAGTACTTCCGCCTTCGCTCTCAGCCCTGCCCCTGCCTCTGCCTCCCCCCAGGCATGTCCTAGCTCTTCCATCGCCCTTGCTGTTGTCTCATGCCTGTTACCATCCCCCACCATCATCCTGCCATCTCCACCATCAATGAATAAACATTTATTGAGCACCGGCAAATCCCAGACACTCTACAGAACGCACAGAAGGCACGGCCCCGCGCCGGGGGCTCCAGCCCCTCGCAAAGCTGCCATGCTGCCGCACATGGTGGCGCGTGCGGCTCAGGCTGGGGCTGGGCCTTGGCCGGGCAGCGCACCTGGAACGGGGTCCTGAGGCCTCTGCCAGGTTCCAGCTGGGGCGGGGGTCATGCCACTTCCTGAGAGCAGAGCAAATAAATAAAGGAGGGGCAGGGGCCGGGGCCTGAGCCCTGTGGGTGGAGGGGCCCTGGCGTTGGCTTATGTGACTCCATGGGAGCGAGACAGGTGGCCAGGGGCCCCCACCCTGGAGAGGGGAGGCAGAGCCTGGAGACCAGGGGGTCCTGGGGCCTTCCTGGCACCTCCACTGGGCCCTCGCCTCTGGGGCCAAAGCAGGGCGTGGGGGGACACCCTAGAAGGCACTGCTGAAATGCGTGTGGACTAGAAATGGGCCGGCGGAGAGGCTGGGGCTGTGCCGAAGTCCCTAGAGCGGGGAGTCATCAGTCCTCCACTTGGGGGGGTAACCCTGCTGGTGGTCGCAGCGGGGGTTCCCCATGCTGTCCAGAGGCACCACCACCTCGTCTGGGTTGGAGTTCTTGTTCAGTTCCACCACGCGGGGCACCACCGAGGACCAGCGATCTGCACCGAGAGCACATCAGACGGAGGGGAGGAGGGGGTGGAGAGACAGCGAGCATATATGGAGTGCCTGCTGTATACTGGGCACTCCACAGTGATCTGAAGGGGGGGTTTGACTATGCTTATTTTACAGGGGTGGAAACGGGCTCAAGCGAGGTCAAGGTGCCTCCCCAGGCGTCAACGGAGGAACCAGGATTCAAGGCCAAAGCCAAATGCCCTGCGCACCTACGTCCTGTCCAGCTGCGTCTCGCAGGCTCACGGCTTACTAGACAAACAGGAAGGTTTTCTCCATACGGGGATGGCTGAGGAGCTCGTCCCCCCTCCCCAGGCCAGCTCGTGTCACAGTAGGGAGGCCCAGGACAAAGCCATGTAGGTGACGTGCCCGGGCATTTACAAGCAGCAGAGGAAACTCAGGGGCACACGCTCCCATTCGGCAGACGTGGACACTGAGTCCTGGAAAGCGGCAGGACTGCTCAAAGCAAATTTGCGGTAAGAATGGACTGGGGCTCCCCTCCGCACCTGCCCTTCCACTCACCCCTGCGGAGGCGGCTCACGGTGTGTGAGAAGCCGTAATACTGGTAGGTCTCATTCTTGCCCGGGTCCTCATTGATGATGCCCAAGTTCTGGTTCCAGTGAGACCAGTTCACCTCATCCACCCTGGAGGGGCCAGGGGCCAGAGCGGAGGGTCATGGAGAGCCCTTCCCAGAGACACTTCCCACGCCACCATCCCCAGCACAGCCTCCTGTTTCTTTATTATGGTAAAATATACATAACAAGGCCTGGTGTGGTGGCTCACACCTGTAATCCCAGCACTTTGGGAGGCCGAGGTGGGCGGATCATGAGGTCAGGAGTTTGAGACCAGCCTGACCAACTTGGTGAGACCCCATCTCTACTAAAAATACAAAAAGTAGCCAGGCATGGTGCCTCGTGCCACCACACACACCTCCACACCCATGTTGCCCAGGGTGGTCTTGAACTCCTAACCACAATCGATCCTCCTGCCTCGTCCTCTCAAAGTGCTGGACTTACAAGCTTGAGCCACCACGCTTGGCCAGGATTTGAGCTTTAGATTCAAACTGAACCGAGGCTGGGTGCAGTGGC